AAAGGACCTGCTCTGTGTGTGACAGGGGGGAGCTCTCCAACACCCTGATCGACCCTGCTCTGTGTGTGACAGGGTACGGAGCCCCAACCCCCCTGATGGGCCCTGCTCTGTGAGTGACAGGGGGCAGCGCCCCAACCCCCTGATTGGCCCTGCTCTGTGCGTGACAGGGGGTGGCAGCGCAACCTCCCCATCGACCCTGCCTTGAGTGTGACAGGGGGCGGTGCCCCAACCCCCCAATCGGCCCTACCCTGAGCGTGACTGAGGGTGGCATCGCAACCTCCTGATCCGCCCTGCTCTGTGCATGACAGGGGGCGGCGCCCCAACTCCCCAATCAGCCCTGCTCTGAGCCTGACCAGGGGCTGCACCTAGGGATTGGGCGTGCCCTCTGCCACCCGGGAGCAGGCCTAAGCCAGCAGGTTGTTATCTCCTGAGTGTTCCCAGACTGCGAGAGGGCACAGGCCGGGCTGGGGGACCCCCTCCCCTGCCGAGTGCACAAATTTTTGTGCACCGGGCCTCTAGTCTATAATAATAACAGTGTGATATGCTAATTTGACTGGACGTCCTTCTAGGATGAAGCTGGGGCTGCAGCCACCATGGCTGCAAGGGAGGGATCTACTCTTGTGAAGGCCTACTCTTGCATGAATTTCATGCATCAGGCCTCTAGTTATATATAAAAGTGTTCCAGAGACTAAAACGTGTAAAATAATATTGGTATTCATTTACCTAAACATTCTTCACGGTTAGAATTTTTAAAATGCTTTTGTAACTATTAACTGGATATAGGTAAACTTCTCATTATATGTTCATCTCTAGATCTTCTGGTCTGTCAAATCATTAGCCGCTATGACACATTCTGTCCTTGTAAATGTCCCAATAATGAACATCATATTCATAGATGACCTCTACACTTCTATGATCTTAATCTGTGTTCATTCTTGCAAGTTAAGTTTTCCTTATTTTATTCTTAAACTAAGAGCTAACAAGTATTGATTGTTTCTATATACCACTATTCTTGTAAACACTTTACCGGGATGTTGGTACTATTTTACAAATGAGGAAACTGAATCAAGAAAAGTTACGCGTCTGCCTACACACACGGCTAGTAAACGAAGGCATTCTGGTTTGGGTGTGTAACACCGCATGACCTCTTATGAAGCCAGAGGACAGACCTTCTCTTCTTTGAAAGAGCTCAAGTGTCACCTACAGTGACATCACTGAGGGCCTGAAGAGTGATAGAGGGAACGGAAGCTTATTTCCTGGGACACCGATCAATGAGCTTTGGAGAAGATGCTAGGACCAGTTAAATTTTGGCTAAATGTTCCCATACAACATGACATACCTTAGAAATTTGTTGAAGACAAGAAGTTAATATTAAAATTTAATTTTAGTGATTATTTTTATTGCCTCAATGGAACCTAGTCATAGAATTTTATAAAAGGCTTCAAAAATTTTCCCTAGCATGGTTCTTAATTGTGCTGAAGACTCATGCAGATGATTGAGTTTCTCTCTCTCTCTTTCTTCCTTCATTTGGAAAATTCTAATGACCATAATAGTCAAATATCCCTTGGAACTTTTTTTATTATAGCAGGTCATTTTCAGAATTAAGGCTAAAAAGCCCATCTAATTCCCAATACTAATTACCACTATGCTGTATACTAATATAAAATAATATTGCATGTCAACTGTAATTAACAAATTTTAAAAAGTTTTAAAAGTAAAAAGATAAATGATATATATATGTATATATTTTAGTTATTGTGAAGACTCAATTATATTCAGCTTATAAATTACAATGCTTAATGCCTGACAGGAAGATGATACTTAATAAAAAACCATTCTCCTTTCTTCAGTTTATCCTAAAAACAAAACAAAATCCCAACAACTAATAAACAAATACAATAGTTATGAATATGTACCTTAGTTCAGATTAATTTCACTTTGCCTTGGCCTAGTTTTGATTTGGGGTTAGGTTCCTTTTGAGGTCTTACTATACATTTTGGTATTGGCTTTCAGGGATTTGAAGTTAGGGTCCAGGTAATAATGATCCATGTTGTTCTTCTGATAGGGAAAAACTGTGGATGGAGTGTTCTAGAAAGAGGAAATGAGATCAAGAGGTTAAGAAGCTCCATAACTATTCAGGATTTAACATAGCATTTGACATATAGCCAGCTCTTAGAAAGGACTAGTTGAGCATTGAATGTATTTTGTCTCTGCTGTTCATTGCATGAGCATCTTTGGGCATGCTCACGAGCAGGTAGAAGCCTCTCTGCAGAATCTGGATGAGCAGTAGGTATTTGTAAAATTAACGTATTTTCTCTGATTGCCGAAATTATAAATATTGTATAGCCATTAGGAAACTCAAGTGAGAGCAAACAAGAATTTCAAAATAATCCACAGTCATAGTTCTCAGCATTTTAACAAAAACATATTTTTTACAAAAACAAAATCTAAAAGTTAATGTCATATTCCTACCTGACTACTTTTAGGATAAATATTTAAAAGCTGGATACATTAAATCCATACTTTGAAAATCAGGTTTCAGCATTAAATGAGGCAAAATGAAGTTTAATAGAAAAATCAGAATAAATTTTGGACAATTTGAAGGCATGTATAGTTCCTCAGAATTCTAAGTTTTTAAAGGATTGAATACTTATTTATAAATAGTAATATTTAGCAATATCTTATTTACAATTTCTTCAAATCCGTACTAACACTAATTGCTGGCCTGTTTTTGAATGAATTACTGAGTTGTCTTAAGACTTGATCCCATTTATGTAGAGAACTGGATTCATTTTTTAATCATTCCTAAGCTTATATTTAATTTCCTACTTCATAGAAAGGAAACAGAAGGTAATGGAAGGGGACAGCAAGTCTTCACTTGTTTGACTCCCAGCTTTTAGCACAAAACTGCAGTCTAAGCAAGTAGTGTCAACCCCGCCTTTCACCTGCTTGAGAATGTGAAGACAGGCAGGGCCATGATGGTGCATCTGGTTACTGATTTCAGGCATCTCACTTCAAAGGTGATGGAGATCCACCAATTGTTCCAGGGATGTGTGAAAACTTTGGCCGATCATAGGCTGACTTTGAGAAGATTGCTTTGAACCTTTATGAAGAATTTCCAGGGCAACAAGAGTACGTATGAGCTGTGAACCTAGTCCCCTCAACTAGCATGTGTAACCCTTCCTTAAATTCTACTGTCAAATTTTAATTATCACATACAGTTTTCTTAACAACAGTAAATTATGGGGAGGGAAAATATTGCCTTTGATGTCTAAACAACAATTAAATATTCACCTCTAAAACTCTACATTTGTATCTACAGTGGTTTTGGTCTGCTTGGTTGAATCAGCCAAAAAACATGCGCTTCTTCATATACTGACTTCCAGAACAGCTTGAGTGCTTTCTGGTATTAAAATAAACACAAAAGACTCGAGGAGAGGTAAAAGCCTAATTAGCCATTATTGCACCAATTGTGCAATTTAAAATGTGCTTGGAGGGTATCTAAAAGTTTTCATGCAACTAGTAGCTCAGCCTATTTAAAGAACAAAAAATAAAAATAAAAAATAAAGAACAACAGGTCATAACTCAGTGCACTAGGCTTAACATGAAATTTTCATTGCTTTCTGATGCCAAGACTTAGCTTTATAATTAAATCCAGTTTTCACTTACCCAAACCAGGCAATCAAACTAATCAACTTTACCCTTCTCTTTCCTTCCCTTTAAAAGAGTATGTGGTGACTCCTCAGTTGACTCATCCATTTCCAAATGCCACAATCCACTCCTCAACCTGCCCCTATTTCGTGAGAATGTGTACAAAAAAGAACTGAGGCTTATAATCACAGAGAGTATTAACCCTTGTCACAGCTATTTTTTATTTTATTTTCATTTTTTATTTTTTGTCGCAGTATTTTTTAAATGATTGTTCATTAGTTTTCTTTTACAATTATTAAGGTATAGAATGAAGATTTTGGCCTTGCTTTCCAGCTCATCTACACACACACACACACACACACACACACACACACACACACACACACGTTGCTCTGCAGGCATCCTGTTTGTAAAAACAACCTCCCAGAGGAACCCCAGACCATTATTGTTCTCCCCTGTTCCTGTCAGTAATTGGTTCAGGAAGCTTTCTTGAAGAATGGGGTTTTCTACTCTATTATCTCTACTGCTGAATGTTACACATGGATTGTCAAAAATTTGAATTCAATAAAATGAATAACAATACATCTATAATGGGTATGATTTAGTTCCTCAGGATGCAGAATGTGCCGTTGTGCCGGCCTCCATTATGAAGAGCAGTGGTAATGATTTTGCAGCTATAAAAATATAGGAAATGGCCTGAAGCAGCCTTCATCCTGTAGTATCCTGGAAGTTGTTTGATAAAAGGAACCCGTTCTATCACTCATTTACTTCCCTCTTTTTCATATAGGCAAGGCAGTGAGGGAGTAGAGGATGGGAGACAATGAGAGAAGGGTCGATGGGTATGAGGGAGACATAGTTCTTTGTCTTCTAAAGTCTCACCGTATATAAGAAACAGTGACCCTCGCCAGCTTCCACATGGATTCACCATAAATGTAACCAGAAGCAGGACACTGAATCAGTCCTATGGTCTCAGTGATGGGACAATGCCAACTTGTCCTCTTCTTTCCTAGAGGGAAAGTCAAACAATAAGTGGAAGACTCTCAAGCTTAAGCTTAGTCACAGGTCAGGCCTAGATGGTCACATTGATCTCTCTCTTCACTTCCTTCCATCCACAGGGAGTCCTCGGGTCCCTTGGAGCTCTCTGCCCCTAGATTGTGAAAAGATAGACACACTTGCAGGGCTACGTTGCGGGGCCTCGTCATCCTGAACCGCCCCCACACCCCAGCTTCCTCTCAGGTCTGCTGATTCCCCTCTTAGGAATGGGGTTGGCAGGGAGCCACAGTGGCAGGGTTTTCCTCATCTGCATCCCCACATGGAGAGAGTCCACTCAGCCTCTGGGTTAATTCCTCCCTGTTCTATTCAAATGTAATTAGAGTTTCTCCTCTATGTTCCCAGCATTGCCCCTTCTTTGAGCAGGTAAATCAGGTCATTCTCAGGAGCCCGCAGCTCCCTGCAGAGCCCAGTCCCCCTGGAAGGCTGCATTTCCTGTTGAATGCCCGCCACGGAGAGGTGCTGCTCACAGCCAGTCCCCTTAATAAATCGCTCCTCCAGCTGAGACCATTTGTCTGAGGGATATTTCCATCAGTTACAACTGGATCCTGAAATATTTTCACCGTAGCATGCCACCATCTCCTTGAGCACTAGAATTCTTTTCCTTTTCTTTTCCTTTTTTTTTTAAGCTCTGTAGTTTCACCAATAGGAGGAGGCCTCCCTGCAAATGAGGAGGACCTTGATCTTTCCTAGCTGGTGTCTTATTGCTGCTTCTTGCCCAGCCTCCCTTCTGATTCTTCACCTGGCCTTCTGTTTTATGTCCACTTATTTCATTACTTGAGAGAAAGAAAACAGCAGGCCCTGGGAGCTCTAGTCCAG